CTCTCTCTCTCTCTCTCTCTCTCTCTCTCTCTCTCTCTCTCTCTCTCCTCTCTCCTCTCTCTCACCCTCCCCCCTCTCTGTTTTTTCCTTCAAAAGGAAGAAAAAAATAGGATAGTAGAAAAAGAAAAAGGGCAATTTAAGATTGCTAAAAATAACCCACGGAACCCTGCCAGAACGAACGCGCGGTGAGAAGTAAAAGCCTGTTCCTCGGAAGTCGGTGTCATATGTTGGCCACAATCTAGTTTAGATTCCGTTCAGAAATAGAAGAATAGAAAAACATCTCTTTCCTCCGTTAAAGTTTGTTTCATGAGCTCTGTCAAGTTCCTTTCTCCGGAAAGAGAGGGGAAACTCCTGTCCTGGTCGCCAAGCATATTGGTGAAGGCGTGGGTGCAAAGACCCGGGGACTAGGGGCTCCAATCTAAATCTCACCGACTGTATGCAATCTCTTAAACTGTATGCAAGTCCTAGAAAGCCCTAGTTAGAAAAACTGACCTTAACTCCGGTCGCGAATGTTGAACTTAATCGTGAGAGAACTTCGCGGACAAGGAACCGCTGAGATGCGGCCATGTGGAATTGACCCGAGTGGTTCCCAGCTGTCTGCTGGGGATGGCTCTCGGGCTGAGAGTGCTTACTGCTTTGTTTCTTTCTGTCCCTTACTGGTAAGTAGAGCCTCCGAGTGTAACTGGGAAGTTCTTTCCTGGGAATTGTTTGCTTGTGTGGCAGCTATTGGTTAGATAGCAACGCCTGGTTAGCGAATGTGTGGGTTTTTATAGTGCACAAAACGGGCTCGTGAAAGAGCTGTGGTTTCTATTTTTTTCAAACATGTTTTTATTATAAATACTTACTGTGTGAGTGTATGTGGGCCTATGTGAAGCTCAGAGGACAGCTTGTGAGAGTCAGCTTCGTCCTTCCACCTTGGGTGTCTGCAGGGGACTCAAACTCAGGTTGTCAAGTATGGTGGCAATCACCCTTCTCCACCAAACCATCTTACTGACATTTATACCATCCCACTGGGACTTCAAGCCTGTGCAGCTAGGAGTGACCCAGTACAGGACGTCCCACCTCCGAAAGTAGAGGCACCCTGTGCCTCTCTGTAGTGGTTGGTCCTGCTCTTCGCAGGGGCAGGGGCATGCGCTGCCTGTGATTCCTTAATAGAAGGAAGCAGGGTGCCCCCTGCAGGGTCAGCCTTGGCAGCTGTGGTCTGTGAAGAGCACTCTTCACTTTGGTGCGGTCAGTCTGGAGGGGACAGCCTTTGGGTTGACAGAAGGTGCCTGCTACTGTCCTGGCTTTCGGCCCTCGATTTTGAGTGACGAGGTGCGGTGATAAAATCATGGTCTCTACACTGTGTATAGTGGCTCAGGACTGCCACCCTCGTTCTTGACAAGGCGAGGCAGGAGAATTTCTGTGAGTTTAAGGCCAGCCTGAACTATGCAGTGAGCTCCAGACCATCCTGGGGTACATAATAAAGTTCTGTCTCAATCGAATCAAGCTAAAACAAAGCAAACAAAAACAAAACTCACAATGAGCTCCAAAAATAGACCTGGGTTCAAATATACACCAGTTCCTGGTCTTTGAGTGTCCAAAACCTCAGTGTGCCACATGCCTGGCATTTGGTAAGTAACTTTTTTTTGAGACAGGGTCTCCTTCTGCAGCCTCGGCTGATCCGGAACTCATGGCAATCCTCCTGCCTCAGCATCTTAAGTGCTGGGATTGCAGATGTGTGCTGCCATCTTTGTTTGTTGACCTTCTAAATGATCATCCTTATCATTATTATGTCTGTCATTTAGATTTTTAGATTTTTTACATTTAGCAACATGAATTTTCAGTGTTTTTATTATTTGAAAATTCCATATATGCATACTCCTCAGACTCACCTTTTATCCTTCTCTCTAACACCTCCCCCTCCAATTTTTCTTTTCTTTTGATAATCCGCTGAATCTAATTAGTGCTGCCCACGTGGACAGGCGTGTGGGACCACCCAGTGCACCATGGGAAACCTACCCGGGCTCACACACTCAAATATGATCCTCCTCCCACAGCTACCAACTGCCAATAGCTCCTCGGTGACGGGCGGGGCTTGGAGAGCTCCCTCCCCCGTGCTGGACAGGTGATTGGCTGGACCCCGAGCAGGTCTTCCGCAGGTTACCTCTCTGCTGAGGGTTCTTGGGTCTGTTGACCACGTCAGGTCCAGAGTCAGCTTTTCACAGCGTTCCCGTCCTGAGCCTTGATGCGGGAGTGGGCGTAGGGGGTGGGGTGGGATGAGGGGGTGGTGGTAAAGACGTCCCACTTGGGGCTGAGCACTCTGTCTCCTTATACAGCACTTTCTATATGGGACTCTGCAGTGACCGCTGCTCACTGGAGGTCGCATTGCGTGTGCGCGTGCATACACACGCATGCACGCACCTGACATACCTGTTTTCTGGTTTGATTCCTTGTGTGGATGGTTTATTGGGTGGAAAAATTGATCAGAATCTGCATTTGGTCCCATTTACTCTTTTCTTTTGTGGCGCTAGGGTTGAACGGAGGACCTCACATGCGCTGGGCAAGCGGTCTGCCTCTGAGTCCTTAAGAACGTGAAGGCGACCCTTACATTCCCTGAGTAGCCGTGGCAGGCCTTCAACTTGGGATCCTCCTGTCTCAGTCCTCCAGGTAGCTGAGATTACAGGCCAGTAAATGCCTCGAGGCTCAGCTACTCTCCAGTCTTTGTAACTTGACGAGGACCGGGTTCCCTCAGGCTGTTCTGGAGAGCAGGGTTAGCCAGGTTACCTGGCAACACAAATCCCCTCTAAGATTCTAGTTTATCACTCCCTGTGACTGCCATGTTTTTTGTCTTTCACAGGCTGGGTTCCCCTCTTGTAATAAGCTGAAGGTACAGGGGAGGGCGCTGTTGAGCGTGGCAGGAGAAGCTGGTTTTATTGATGTCTGTCATCTACAGCATTTTGATTGCAGTTATAGGATTCAGTGCAGCTGAGATAGCGTGTGCGGAGGAAAGGAGCTGGTGTCTGCGGAGTACACCTTAGCAGACACACCCAAAGTTATTAAGAGAGGCTGCTGGGAGTTTTTTTCCCCGTTTGCTTCAGATGGAGGTACCTTCAGACCACCACCTACTGACCTTACGGTTATCTTTTTAAAGCTGTTGTTTGGATACGTAAGAACAGAGAGTTTCATCAGAGTTTTAGAGAAAACCCCCAGGGCAGGCGAGCTGCTGCCTAGAGAATGAAGGAGAGGGGAAAAGGCCACACCGTTTAAGCCAGCACAGCAGGAAGGAACATTTTTGACAAGCAGTTGCGTGTCGGGGAGGAAGGCTTTCGAGAAAATATAAGGAAGCCCAGGTTGTTGAGAGAGGTGCTCAGAGCGCTAAGGAAAACATACTTAGAAGAAGGGCCGAAAGAGAGGCATAAAACCAGGCTTTTTTGACAGGCTAGAAAGTGGACAGACATAATACACCAAAAACAATTTTTGTCGGGCAGTGGTGGCGCACGCCTTTAATACCAGCACTTGGGATGCAGAGGCAGACAGATCTCTGTGAATTCGAGGCCAGCCTGGTCTACAGAGCTAGTTCCAGGACAGGCTCCAAGGCTATAGAGAAAACCTGTCTCGAAAAACCAAAATAAACAAACAAGCAGAAAACATTTTCTTTAGCTTACATGTGTTTACTCTGTGTGTATGGAATGTATGGGGTGTGTGAGTGTGTGTGAGAGAGAGAGACAGAGAGAGAGACAGAGAGTGTGCGTGTGAGGTATGTGGGGGAGAGGTATTCGTGTGGGGGTATTGAATGTATGAATATGTGTGTATGGAGTGTACGTGTGGGATGTGTGTGTCTGTGTGTAGGTGTATGTATTATGTTCACATGTGTGCATGTGTGACCGTGTGTGTAGGTGTTTGTACTGTATATGTTGATATGTGTGCAGGGGTGTGTGTAGGTGTATGTATATGTTCACATGTGTGCGTGTGTGCCCATGTGTGTGTAAGTGTTTACAGGTGTGTGTATATGTTTACATGTGTGTAGATGTATGTTCATGTGTGTATGCATGTATGTGGGGGGCCAGAGGCCGGCCTCAGGAGCCATCCACCTTGTGTTTTTCAGAAGCTTTGGGAGTTTTCCTATCGCCACCTCTCTAGCACTGGAAACACAATTGTGTCCCGGCTTTTACATGGGTGCTGGGAATCTAGCTCAGGTCCTGAGGCTCATGGGCGGACACCCCCCCCCCTACAGAGCATCTTTCCAAGCCCTCACAAGTCACTCTTTGTAAGTATTTGGGGTGTCATCAGTATGTTTTTTTCCATGATTGGAATATTGTTTTGTGGTTCCTTAGCTTCTGTTTTGCAGACAGTGAGAGCATTATTTACAGGTGCAAATCTGCTGTCAGACAATGCTAGCCTGGTCTGCGCTGCTCGTGGAATCCCGGGCTAGCCTGGTCTTCGCTGCTCGTGGAATCCTGGGCTAGC